AAAATTAACAGATCCTTAATGTTAAGCAGCAAGTTAAGGATATGCTTATGTTCTGCTGTTTATTGGTCTTGAATGTTAAGCCAAGGCATTTATCTTACATTCATAATAAATGGATTGGATTTGCATAAACTCAGATTTTTATTGGCACTTAATTGGTTTTGTATAAAGTAACGCTTTATAATAGTCTTCTATACAGATGGATAGTTCTTTGGAGGACTTTATGTGACCTGGTAAACAAATGGTTTTTGTAGTGAATTATTTTTAGCAGATTACATGTACTAAACCATTAATTGCCTATTCCAACCCTAGAGAAAGATGTACATTTTTTAAAAATTGAAGGAGGTCATTGCTAGCAAAATGTAGTGGTGGTGCTGTGTTTAATGCAAGCCATTTCATGTCATTACCTCCCTCAATATTGATTAATGGACATGAAAGGCTATGGAATTGCATTTAAATCTTCAAATCACTTGATATCCATATTTGTGTTTTAGCTGGATAAAGCCCATTGTTGCTTTTCTATGAATGTAGTTGGTTCTTTTTAAAGACAGTTGATACACGTATGCAGGATATTATAGGATGCTGAAAGGCAAAATACTCAATACTATCTGTGGAAGAAAAATTTCTAAAGCTTTTTTTTTAAAACAGAACACTCTAATCTCTGATTTGGAGAGACCTAAGCTGCTGATACTTAGAAGCCAGAAAATTGTACTGGAGAATATTATACGTTTGTATGTCTTAACATCTGAAGCTGGTCACTTTTGAAAGTTATCCAAAACACATATGCAACGTAAGTTTAGGGTTTCAAAAATCTACTCTGTTACTGACACCAAGTGACAAGCTAGAGGGAAAGTAATGTAACAGCCTGAAAGCTTTTCATACCCTGAGCAATCAGAGAGCTGAAATGCCTTTTAACCAGTGTGATAATCATTGTAAATGACGTGCATTGGGTCATACCTTTTGTCTCATACTGAAAATAAAAGTCTTCTGATCATTTTGCCCATACATCAGGAATGCTGAGAGGTCAGTGCTGTGCATTTTCCCTGTCTACTTCATATTAAACATTGCACAATGGATTTGTGCTACAAAAGACTGGTTGTAAAAATAAATAAGGAATCTAATTTTCAAAGCACACAGTTTTCCTGTGAAGAAGGAACATGGAAAAAAACATGGCTTCAACCTGAAGCCTCATCCATACAGTGTGGGGTTTTTGCCATATTGTCACGTAGGCCATGGGTGCCATCCTGCCTGCAGCTGGGGAGGTCTGTTTCCTTGCAGCTCCTTTGCTCTGCTGCTGCTGATCCTGCTGCTTTTCTACTTCATTACCCTGATGTGGGCATTGTTGATGCCTTTTCATTCTTGATCTGTCAGCCTGATTTAAAGGCTACTTTCGTGTATCTAAAGGAAAACATCTTTCACCTCTTTCTCTCTCAATGTATATCCTGCATAGCAATATTGAGAGCTGTGATTATGAAGCTGTGTTCAACTGCACCATTACAAAGGCAGTTTTAAATGAAATCCAGACTCAAATTTCAGTCCAGTTTGGTGAGAAAATGATAAATGGAATAACAGTTTTTTCATGATAGAAGCTAGCTAAATTTCAGGTTGCTGGGTGTTGTTAAGAACAGCCAACATTTTTGTCTCCTCCATGCTATTAACTATGCAGAATCAGTGTTTCTTCTCAACGATCCTTACAGTTAAATCCTTATTTTTTTGCATTTCAAAGATGTTAATTTGTATATATTTCATAGACTGAAATTAACAAAGTGAAATGCTGATGTTAGTGCAAATGTTTTTTTTCAGGACTGTGCTGTAGGTTGCTAATGTAATTTAAAATCAGTGACATCTAATACACAAAATAATAGTTTGGGTATAAATGTGGTTTTACTTTTCAGCTGATAGCAGTATTACACACAAATTGAAATACAATTTGTGATTAATGCGGGAGTGTATTGTCACAGCAATGGTAACTTAAACAGTGTTTTTCTACTTTTGGGTGGATGGGCTTCTTATCTTCTGCCTTCTAGCATCTGTTCTTATGAATTCTTTGCCCTCCCTTCTGTTACTCTTGTCCATGCTCCTTTGTTTGCTGTTGAGAATTCCCACACCATGTTTGTGCTGTTACTACTGTATTTAAATGTTTTGCCTTTGCAAATTATCCAAGTTCAGTGCTTCATTGAACAACATGCTGAAATGTCTTTCATAGGAAGCAAAGTCTTGACAAGTGTCAGCAGGAGAGACATGCACCCCCTTCCATCTCTCTCAGAATTGGGGATACTTTAGCTGTTATGTATAGCATTTATTATGATTCCACTTTGTACTTATTAAAGCTCATCCTCATGTTTTATTAGGTACAGTTTCTTGCTGTATTTAGGTAATAACAATGTGAAGCACATGAATCTGGTTCCCCTGTTCTGTTATACGCAACCAAGCAGTATCTTTCTCCCTTAGCATTGCGAAAAGCTTGCTCCATTTGGATAAGGCTTGCCTGGGTGGAGAGAGCAAGTGCTGGTTCTGACCTAGGGTTTACTTTGCATGATCACTAGATATTGCCAACAGAATGTAGCTATGTCTTTTAATATAAGCTTTGAAGATTAAGTGCCTTAGCTATATACTGTATACTTACTGTGCAGATATAATTTATGTGTGTAAAACAGAAGACTTGGGATGAGAACAGCTTTTAGTGTGAGAATAGTAAAGGGTGTAAACTTCCTACATCACAGAATCGTCATGGTTGGAAAGGACCTCTGAGGTCACCACCTTTGTTTTTAGCTTGGACAGTGTTGGCATTGAACTCAAGGAGGTGGGATTCTTTGGTGGTTCGTTGCTGATAATTTACTGAAGTTACACTTTTCAGTTGAAACTTGGCTGCCAGTGGGATCTGAACATGTAGTTTCATGCAGTATGTCTCTGGTGTGCAAGTGAATTTTTTTGAAAGGAAATGTTTGAGCCTTGTTAGCAAGGATTTGGGTTATATCCTGTAATATGGTCAAACTGTAATTAAATGCTAATTTTAATACAATTTACAAATTATTGTAGGGA